ACTTTCTCTGTTCCCTTTCTTCACTTGTTATTTTTCTTCATTTCAACATTGAGGCCAATCACAACTGCCTGGCCAACCAACCCTTTTGGTTTCTTCGTGTGCTTGGCTCCTCAGCAGACTGCCAATGGTGGTCTTAGTCTAAGCTGTTTAAGTTGTATTGTTCAACACAGACTCCGAGCAGAACTAATCCCAGAAGTTTGTCGTGAGATTTGCTTCTCAAAACATTCTTGGACCCAAAAGAGAAACGGCAGAGAAATAACGCAACCCCGTGTTCACTTGTCTTAACGATAAACATTGGATTGGATTGCAATTCTGTAGTATGCTGCAAAATTGTATAATTTTATAATTTACATTTTTTCATCGTGTTTTCCTGACGCTACCTTTTCCTCTGCGTTAGATGGGTTATTGGTTTTGTCTGAAGGAAGCAAAATGTGTTCTGAACCAAAACAAGTAAAAAAAAAAAAAAACAGACAAAAACAATCTCCTCGCTCCCTGTCTGCTCTCATCCTCCCCCGCCACATCGTCTCTTCAAATGACCTTGGGTTAGCTATCTTGTTAAGCTCCCGAAAGAGTCACCCCAGCAGCTACGCATCACCAGGACAACCACCAGCTCTGCTGTGCAGGAAGCATCCCCACCTCTATTTCTAACAGTTGTTAAAACTCTCTGTGACTAGTGGCTGTTTGTTTGTGTGTTACAGCGGCTACTGTAGGAGTTACATTCCTTGCTATGCGTCCATGAACTCAAACGTTTGTTTGTACTTTGTATTTCCGCTGTTACCCAGGGTGAACATTAATACAGAAGCCCAATTAGGAGAGGGATGTACAAAGCTGCCATCAGGCCACCAACACTATTTACCTGACAGCTAATACAAATGTTTCAATGGAGCGGCTACATTCAGATGTGAAAGTCAGCCTGTTAAACCTTTAACAGGGTTGTAGTCCGCCACATTAGGGCATTTGGATTCTGGCCACCTGGCGAATACAAGTCCAATATTCACTCTCCTTTTAGCTCCGTTTTGGTCCCCACCAATGTTGTTTGATAATGTTTTGTGACATGACACTGTGTAGTTCTACTGCATTGATTAATGTGTATAAATGTATAGCATGCCTGAAGATTGTGGAGAACTGTAGGGAAACCAACACTTACTCTTCCACTCATCATAACTAATCAACGTTTTTCAGCCCATGTTACATCAATGCAAAAAGCTTGCATTGGAGTTGCACTTGTGCCCTCTCTCTCTCTCTCTCTCTCTCCTCTTCGTTTGAGTTTCACATTCTAGACCTGGTCAATTCCATTCTCAGTCTTTAGCCAATATCTCTTATTCCCATAGCGGGCCATAGAGAGAGCGTGGAACGGCAAGGTTACATTGTGTGAGGAAAACGTAGTGGATTTCTTGAGGTGCTGCTGAGAATAGAGTGTGCAGGATCAGAGAGCCATCTTTGTTTTTCCTGAGCAGC